GCTTACTGATCTGGGCCCTCTGCGGGGCAATTCTGGCCACAGCTGGCGAGCCCTGGGCCAGCTTGGACACAGTCCTCTCAGGGATGCCCAGGGCATTGCCGTTGGAGGCGTTGCAGAGGATGGGCAGGCTGATCTCCTTTTTGGCAATAGGGGCCTCAGAGCCTTCGCCTTCAGCCGGTGGAGTCTCCTTGTCCCCAGATGCCTTCTTGTTCAGCAGGTTGCTGATCTCCATGATGTTGCCAATGATCTCCACAGGGCCTGCTAGGTTCTTCTTCCGGGTTGGCAGGTCATCTTTGGCTTTCTTCAGATAGGATGCTGGTGCCCAGCCCTCTTTGCCTAGGTATCTGTGGGAGGAGTGGTCCACACCATCATTACAGCCCTGATGCCTGACTTCACCCTTTACTCCCAGGCCCTGCTTTCCATCTAGCCTTGCCCAGCCCAGCATGTCTCTACCATGCTCTGCCAGACACTTGACAATCCCACTACTCCAGAGAGAACCAGAGCTGAGGGTTGATGGGAAGATGCTCAGAACACCACTTCTCCCCCTCTGGCTATGTCTGCCTGGCTTTATTGCTATTGGCCTGGGCCTTCATTCTCTGTAAAGTCAGACAAACATGGGTCCCTGGGATTAGATTTCTCTAATTTTGGGTTGCCCAAAAGGTAGGCTTTGCAATGGTCTGGTTCTTTACAGTCAGTTGAGGGGAATCTAGAGATAAGAAATGAGAAGGGCTGAGTTTGGGGTACAGAGTTACATGTCCCACAGGAAAGGGAAGTGTTATCAGAGAGGGAAGAGATCTCACAGGAAGAGTCCTAATCCATGGTACCTTGGACAAGTCCCTTCCTTGGAGCTTAATTTTTTTCTCTTCTGTAAGATGAAGGGATAGAGTAGTGTTTAAGATATATCTGGGAGGACAGACACCTTGAGACCAAGTAGGAAGAGTGTGTAAATTAGGCTGACTGACCATGGAGGCTGTTGTCAGTAGTGTAGGAACAGCAGATGGATTGAGTTCACAAAGTAAGTCCATAAAATAGGCTTAAAGATAACATTTCAAATCCAGGGGGCAAGGATGGATTATTCAGTGACTCAAGGACAACTGATTATCCAGTTGAGAAAAATAAGTGAGGCCTGGCCTTACACCACACAGCAAAATAAAAGAGACTTGTGAGTATTTACATAATTGTGGAGGTTCAGAGAGCCTTTCTGAGTGGGGTTCCAAAAGCAGAAACCATAAAGGAAAACCTAAAGCACATGACTGGATAAAATTAAAACCATTGGTATGGCAAAGCAAAAACAAAACAAAATAAAACCAAAAGCTTATAAACAAAAGCTGAAGGCAAATGACAGGGGTGACTTAATTTTTGGTGACTTGGTCACTTTTTTTTTGTGGTACTGGGATTTGAACTCAGGGCCTACACCTTGAGCTACTCCACTAGCTCCTTTATATGATGGGTTTTTTTGAGATAAGATCTCACAAACTATTTTCCCGGGCTGGCTTTGAACCTCAGTCCTCCTAATCTTTGCCTCCTTAGTAGCTAGGATTACAAGCGTGAGCCACTGGTACCCAGCTCAGTGACTTCTTAAAACATGTTTTCTCCCCTTTCCCGGAGGGTTGCACATTCACCCGTATCTACTGGAGCTTGCTTCCTGGTCTAGCTATTGCTGGCCAGTGTCCCCAAGTCTGGGTTGCAATGTCTCCATGTATTCCGTAGGACACATCTGGCTCTTTGGAATGGCTTTTCCAGGCCAGATGCCTAAAAACCTCCCTCCACCCGGATGTGACCTTGACCTTGGGAGAGCCTCTAGGTGGGAGAGAAAGAACAGGAAAGCTACAGTTCCTAGCAATTTATCTGAGCTGGGCTGGGAAGCCCCGATAGAAGGTATATCTCCTTATGTTCACATTGCAGGAATGTGCACACCACTTATCTCAAGCTCACCTGTTTCGGTGAAGACAAAGAAGCTGGGGTTGCGATGGCCCAAGGATGTCACAGATACAAAGAGAAACTCAGAATTTTAAGGGTAGATACCAAACCTTCCTATGAGACAACAGCCAAGACTCAGAAAAGTAAAGCAGGCAGCACGGGTCCCACACATCAAGCTGTGGCAGCACTTGGCCCAGGGACCAGGTCTCTTGCATCTTGGAGAAAAAATACTAGTGAACCCACTGGCCCTTGCTTGTGTCTTTGTATGTGAACACGGCAATGATGTGGGAGAGGGGCCTTGGGGGATGCCGGTCAGGCCTTCTTATAGCCTCTAGTGCTCCAAGTCATATCCCTTTGTGTCCCTTGTCATTATATGGATTAAATTAGGTTGCAGGCTTCATATTCCATGGATAGAGCTAGGTTCCCAGCACAGAAATGCAAGGATACTACCAGGAGCAGCTGTGTGTGTTTGGGTCCAACTCTCACAGCTGCTTCCATGTCTAGAGCGGGACTGACCCCAGAAGGAAGCAGGCCGGAGAGAGTGTGCATGAGTGTGTGTGTGTGTATCTGTAGGGCTGGGGGAGGAGAAGAAAGACAGGAAATGAAGATTGACACAGAGCTTGAAATGCTGGAAAATGGCATATTTAAGGGGGTGTCTGGCAGCCTTCTTAAGGTAGAATTGTTTTTTTGGTTTTTCTTATTTATAAAAATATAAAAAAATGTCTATACTCCCAAAAGTAATCTACATGTTTAATGCAATTCCCATCAAAATTCCAATGACGTCCATTAAAGAGATCGAAAAATCTACTGTTAAATTTATATGGAAACACAAGAGGCCACGAATAGCCAAGGCAATACTCAGTCAAAAGAACAATGCAGGAGGTATCACAATACCTGACTTCAAACTATATTACAAAGCAATAATAATAAAAACAGCATGGTACTGGCACAAAAACAGACATGAAGACCAGTGGAACAGAATAGAGGATCCAGATATGAAGCCACACAGCTATAAGCAACTTATCTTTGACAAAGGAGCTAAAAATATATGATGGAGAAATAGCAGCCTCTTCAACAAAAACTGCTGGGAAAACTGGTTAGCAGTCTGCAAAAAACTGAAACTAGATCCATGTATTTCACCCTATACCAATATTAACTCAAAATGGATCAAGGATCTTAATATCAGACCACAAACTCTAAAGTGATATAGGAAAGAGGAGGAAATACTCTGGAGTTAGTAGGTATAGGTAAGAACTTTCTCAATGAAACTCCAGCAGCACAGCAACTAAGAGATAGCATAGATAAATGGGACCTCATAAAACTAAAAAGCTTCTGTTCATCAAAAGAAATGGTCTCTAAACTGAAGAGAACACCCACAGAGTGGGAGAAAATATTTGCCAGCTACACATCAGACAAAGGACTGATAACCAGAATATATAGGGAACTTAAAAAACTAAATTCTCCCAAAATTAATGAACTAATAAAGAAATGGGCAAGTGAACTAAACAGAATTTTCTCAAAAGAAGAAATTCAAATGGCCAAAAACACATGAAAAAATGCTCACCCTCTCTAGCAATAAGGGAAATACAAATTAAAACCACACTAAGATTCCACCTCACCCCTGTTAGAATAGCCATCATTAGCAACACCACTAACAACAGGTGTTGGCGAGGATGCAGGGAAAAAGGAACCCTCTTAAACTGTTGGTGGGAATGTAAACTAGTACAACCACTCTGGAAAAAAATTTGGAGGCTACTTAAAAAGCTAAATATTGATCTACCATTTGATCTAGCAACACCACTCTTGGGGATATACCCAAAAGACTGTGACACAGGTTACTCCAGAGGCACCTGCACACCCATGTTTATTGCAGCACTATTCACAATAGCCAAGTTATGGAAACAGCCAAGATGCCCCACCACTGACCAATGGATCAAGAAAATGTGGTATCTATACACAATGGAATTTTATGCAGCCATGAAGAAGAACGAAATGTTATCATTTGCTGGTAAATGGATGGAACTGGAGAACATCATTCTGAGTGAGCTTAGCCTGGCCCAAAAGACCAAAAATCGTATGTTCTCTCTCATATGTGGACATTAGATCAAGGGCAAACACAACAAGGGGATTGGACTTTGAGCACATGATAAAAGCGAGAGCACACAAGGGAGGGGTGAGGATAGGTAAGACACCTAAAAAACTAGCTAGCATTTGTTGCCCTTAACGCAGAGAAACTAAAGCAGATACCTTAAAAGCAACTGAGGCCAATAGGAGAAGGGGACCAGGAACTAGAGAAAAGGTTAAATCACAATGAATTAACCTAGAAGGTAACACCCACGCACAGGAAATTAATGTGAGTCAACTCCCTGTATAGCCATCCTTATCTCAACCAGCAAAAACCCTTGTTCCTTCCTATTATTGCTTATACTCTCTCTTCAACAAAATTAAGAGATAAGGGCAAAGTAGTTTCTGCTGGGTATTGAAGGGGTGGGGGGGAGAGGGAGGGGGTGGAGTGGGTGGTAAGGAAGGGGGTGGGGGCAGGGGGGAGAAATGACCCAAGCCTTGTATGCACAAATGAATAATAAAACAATAAAAAAATTTTTCATTTTTTAAACATTTTTAATTCATATCATTTAGGTATATATAAACCATATACATAATAACAAAAGCAAGAGAATGGTTAAACTAAAACTTTTAAAGGCCTAGAAGTCAAATCAATTTTTTTAATAATGAAAATTATTAATATTATATTTTTCTTTTATTCATATGTGCATACAATGTTTGGGTCATTTCTCCTCCCTTCCCCCCGCCCTGGTAGAATTGTTTCACCAAGGTTTTCTCTGTTCAAGCTACTGCTGGCTAAAGGACTAGGCCATGGGGACAAGAGCTGATTAGAAATAGCTCAGAGTGACTTCATTAGTTACTTTTGAAATCTAAGAAATAAAACAAAATAAAAAGCAGTGATTTGCAGATCACTTCTGGGCAAATGAATTAGTCTACCCTCCCACCAGGGTGTTTTGGATTCTGGCTTTTCCATGTCAGGGTTCTGGCTGTTGGATTGGGAGCTAACTCTAATTTCCATTGCTTAGAGAACATAAAAGTCTAGGGGCAGTGATTTTGGGCAACACATGTCCAGACACACAGTCCCATCTCGCCTAGCAGGACAGAAAGGGACATCTTGTCTGCAACCATACTATCCTGAATGTGCCTGATCTCGGAAGCTAAGTGGGGTCGGGTCTGGTTAGTACTGAGAAGGGAGAAAGGGACATCTCAGTCTTCCTGATAGGCACCGAGGCTAGGAGGATAGGGGGAGCAATGTCCTATCAAGTCACACAAAGGTCTTGTGACCTTCATCTGACCCTTCGGCAGAGACTAACCTTTAACACCATCATGTTCCACCATGTTCTGAGGACCTACCCCATGAGTGCTTGCATCACCTGTCACAGGGTGCCACAGCACAATCCTGGCCCTCTAAGGAAGACCATGTAGAGCATACATCCTGTCCTCAGTGGGTCTGGAATGCCAGGTGTGGTGGACTGAGGTGGCTGGCCCCAGAGCCCACACATATGCGACTGTCTCTGTCAGCTGGGCTGCAGGCAGAGGAGTGTGGAAAGCAGCCAGAGTCCCCAGAGCTGACAGCCATAGGAGCCAACAGACCTTCCTGAGAGCCAACTTTGTGGGTGGAAAGCAGGGCAGGTCACGTCTGACCATGGTGAGTGATGCTCACAGGGTTTGGTTTATTCTGCTCCCTTACCTACACCCCAAATGGGCTTTTCAGCAGGGAAGTGTGATTGGGCCCTCAGACAGGGAGGCACAGGAGAACGAGGAGCCTTACTTCTACCCTAGCCTTACAACCAGCCCTGTAGTACAAAACGACCCAAACTAGCCAGGGATACAGGGGCCAGAGGCCCATGTCTGGGGCCCGGCGTGCGAGCTTGGAGCGAGCCAGGCAGCCAAGGCCTGATACAGAAAACCAGATTCAGATGTGCTGCACTCTTGGCAGCTGCAAGCTGAGCTGGGTTGGTGGTCCAGGCCAGCTGAGGCTCAGGTTTTGCTTTCTTGTCCCAGGAGACAACCTGCACGCTGAGCACTTCTAGGTTGAGCTTCTCAGCTGCAGAAGTTGGTGTGCAGCTGCCCTCAGTATCTACCTGCCACCTGGTACCATGGCTACTCTGCACTCAGTTGCTGCTCTGCCAGAGCTCCTACCTGATGTACCACCAGCCCTCCAAGTTCTTCCGGATCACCTCCACGGTGACACCCTTCTCGAAGCCAATCTCGTCCTTGCTTTGGCTGGTGTAGGGCTGCACTGTGATGTACTTCTCCTCTGTGAGTGGGCAGGTAGGGGAGGCAAGAAAGCAAGATTATTTGAGGTTGGGGTGTAAGCCCTGTTTCCTACCCCAGGTCCCGGCTGCCTTGCTCAGCTACTTGCCAAGTTGCCCTGGGTCAGCTCTGGCTTCTCCAGGGAAGGGACGGGAAGGGACAGGAAGGGAAGGTCCAGGACTCAGGAGTGGCAGCAAAAAGATCAGGGTGTCAGGGTCACAGCTGCTCCCAGTATGTGCCAAAGCCAGCCAGGATCCCAGGTTGCCCAACAAAGCCCTGAGCAGCACGAAGTCAGCTCTTCTAGCCAAGTTGGGCCAAAGGCAGGGTTTGGAGGAAGCTGCCTCTCATAGGGCCCGAGTCAAAGTTGAGACCAATGCTGAAAAGTCTGCCCTTCCTCAGTGCCATGCCCCCACCTGTATCCCGCATGTGCTCTCCTAGTCCTGCCCCTGCCTCAACCTCTTCAATTCCCCTTAGGTCTGACCTCCAGACACCACCTCCCTGGTGAAGTCTTCACCAAGCCTTAGGTTCCACATTAGCAGCAGAGTACGCAATGTCCCCTAGAGAGTTACACAGAACACAAGTTCTATGGACGCAATTAAGGGTTTTGTTAAGATAAAGGTCCTGTGGCCAAGTAAGTATAGAACTGCCAAACACCCCACTGACAGGCAGACCTGGAGGGCCTCATCAGGCCATGTGGCTGTGCAGCTCCTGGACTTGCTGGTGCCCGGTAAGCTCCCTGCAGAGCTGCTAGTCTCACGTAGTGACTTCAGGGACTTGGTCAAAGGTTTTCCCAAGGTGCCAGGAAAGAGGCACTGTAGGGAATCTCAGAAGAGCTTGGGGGTAGGTGTGGGGAGGTTAGGCACCAGGTTTCTCCCTTGGCATTCTTCAGCTTCCTTCCTGGCAGCAGGTCCTGGTACCTTCCCCCAGGACCTTTGCTTAGGCTTTCAGGAAGGTGTTGCTTCCTTGTCTACTAGGGTCTACTTCTTCTGTCCCCAGGAAGCCATCAGGGTGACTCACAGCTGGCTGTTGAGGTCACCCTGCCTCCTGGGTGAGACTCTGCCTACAGGACAGCTCAGGCCCGGGGTAGGAGCATCCTCTCTACCCACCCATTGGGAGGACAAAGGACAAGCTGAGACAGAGGGGCAGAACTAGCTATTTGGCAACACCCTTGGGAGGGTCACCCTAAACCATGTGGTCTTCCTTGATGGGGGCTCCCTGGAGACTGTGACACGCCAAGAACACACTGCTAGATGCTGTGGACTCCACCAGAGAAGAGAAAGGCATGGTTGGACAGGGCTGAGCGGGGCACTGAGTGGGAAGCCTGCTGAGAGCTCAAAGTGGCAGGAGCCCAGCCTCCATGTCACCCACCACTACTGGCTTCCAGCTGAAACAACCACCCCTTGGACTCTTTGGTTGGATCCTGTTGGGCTGCCTGCCTGAGCCTCTGGCAGCTATGCAGGAGGGGACAGCTGTCACCCCAACTCCCTGCTGTGAGAGGGCCATCTGTTCATTCTCCTCTAGATTATCGGGGTCCTGTCTGCAGCCCTGGGCTGGACAGAGATAGCAGTTCCCTTGGCAGTGAAGCGGTTGTCCTGCCAGGCTGCAACGGAAGTGAAGGGTCACTGGCTGTGCTTGAAAGCCTGCCAAAAAGCAAAAGGTGGGTGATGGCTGTGGGAGGCTGTACCACTCCTCACTGTGCTCTCCCACTGCAAGCCTTTCTCGGCATTGACAAGGAAGGACTTTGCTCCGGGGCCTTCAGATTCCACTCCAGCCCTGCCCAGGCCTGCTGCCAAGGCTGCTTGAGAACCCTGCCCAGCCAGATTCTGACTCGGACCCTGGAGAAGTTCCATGTTCTCTTGCTGGTTCCTGGTCCTGCTCCATTTTTCCAGTGGGCCACGGTAAACCCCGGCCCAGGCAGTGACCAGAGGGGCAGAGCCAGGCCCTGGGAATCCTGAGGTCTGGGCAAGGCAAGGCCTGGGCTCTACATTTTGCCTTTGTTCGGCAGGACTATTTTTAAAGCCTGTGGTTCAAGCAGGAAGCCAACATGAAAGTTTTCCTAGGCAAGGTTGCTTTTGCAGAGAAAAATGGCAGCCCTTCTTGGGGAAGATGAAAGGAACCCTGCCTTGTCCCAACAGGGCCTTGACCATTCATCCAGAATGGGCTCAGTCTCTTGGAGACACCAGGAATAGCCACAGCATCACTCTTGGTGTACATGTGGCACCACATCCCTGGGTGTGGAAGCTCTTGCTTTGCTTGACCTCCAGGGTGGGGGTGGAGGGGTGTGTGTGGGGGGGAACAAAGGATACCAGTTCTGACTACAAAGCTAATCTGCTCCTGCAAAAGGCCCTGTTCTTGGAGGCTCTGGTGACCACATCCCCCAGGAGTTTGTGTCCTCCTGGTAAATGTGCTGGTGGGCACAGGGGCTCACCAGGTCTCTGTGTGGATTTCAGAGAACTCAGTGTCCTGGTCTCTGGCAAGGTTAAGCAATTCTTCCCACTTGTTCCTTTGGATACTTGGTTTTCTGCTCTGGATGGCTTAAAAGGCTCAGAAGGCAGAGGCATGTTCCATCTCTACGTAAAGGCCAGATGGGTCTCAGACCTCCCAACCCACAGGTGAGTAAAGGGACAAGCAGAGACAGATCCATCAGTGGACCTGACCACAAACCCCACTGTAGAGGGATTGTTCAGGCAAGGGAATGCCCAGCTAGATGGAAATGGCTTCATGGGCATTGAGTTTATAGGTGGGTCAGGGGCTCTGAACCCCTCCCCCTCCTTTAGGAAACAGAGTTGAGGGCAGGGAGGCCGTGAGCTTGCGGACTCCTCAGGGATTTTGCGAAGTACAGAGTCTGGCATTGTGATCTTTTTGCCAACCAGAGATGGTGGCATCCCTGCCTCGTGAGGGCTGGCCAGGCAGCTGGGTGGGGTGGGGGAGGTGGACAGCCCATTCTGGTTTTGGAGGCAAGGGCTGGAAGCCCTGCAGTTTCCAAACCACAGAAGTCTCCTTTCTCCAAACACTTTCCCCCTCTGTCAGCAGTCTCTCAGCCTCCCCTCCCAGCCCCTCCAACTCCCTCACTGGCTGAGCTCCCCCAGGAGAGAGGCCTTTGATCCCAAATGCTTGGTTGGCTGAGGGCTGGGGAAGGGAGGCCTGGGGAAGCACTGTTTTCTCTTGTCTAGTTACTGATGACCCATTGCTGCCTTCCACCAGCTCTGCTGCTTGCAGTGAGGTCGGTGTCAACCAGCCAGCTCTCTGCAAGTTTTTCTTGGCTGCCTGACTTAATGTAGCCCGTAGGGCTGAGGCTGGGAAATTATGTTGCTTAGGTCTCTTATATGAGAGAGAAAGGAGTAAAGGGAAAGGGGAGAGGGGAGGGAGTGAGGGAGAGAGAGAGACATGGACTTCTGTTTGCTTAGGTTTGGGTGACTGCAGAATGATGCATTTAGCTGAGGATTTGTGTCTATGTGTGTCCCTGTGTGTCCATCTGAGTATACTTCTGAATACACTGCCTGTGCAAATGTGGTATGAGTGGCTATGTGTACTTGCAGTTGTTGCTGCAGAGGTGTATATACGATGTGAGCCATGATTATGTGTGTGAAGTATTTGTCACTGTAAATAACATGTGGTGGCATAACTGGGATTAATTATGATAAGAGTGTGAGTTGTGTGCACAGAACAGCTGGGGGGTGGGGGTGTGATTAGGCACTGCAGCCACACATGTGGCTGTCAGGCTGTGAACGGGTGTGTACCTCACTGGCTGTATGTGTTTGTGTAGTATAGAGACACAATTATGTTTCAGGCCCAGTGTGTGATGGGTGTGGAACAGGCCAAACTTTCACTTCTGCTGTGTGATTCCAGGCCCTGGGACCTGCTCTCTGTTGCTACACAGGCCTGGGGGGCTGCTTCCCAGCCCGGTCTCCCAGAAAGTTGTCCCCTCCCTCCCGACTTTAGGGTGGCCTTTGCTTTACATTCGGTCTGTTGGTGTTTCTACAACTTCAATCTCTCCATCAGTCCCCTGGGGTCCAGCCCATGCTCCGCCCTCAAGACAAGCTGGGTTCTTCATGGCCAGCACTCTGAGCCTGACTCTAAGCCAGTCATGGGATGAGGCCACCCAAGAGTCCAGACTTCCTGCTGCTCTCCTTGTTACTTGGAAACAAGCTTTGAGGTGGGGGTGGGGGCCCAAGTCAGGCATCCCTGTGTTCCAGAAAGGCCAGTGCTCATTACACACCCCTCTCAGGGGTGACGATCTGCTTCCAACCATGTCGTCACTGCGAGGAGAACACACTCTGCCCTGCTCTCTGTGGGGCAGGAGGAACTGACCATCCACTGGTCTGGGGGGGGGGGTCTGCAGATGTTTAGCGGTACATTCAGAGGCCCACCATGCTCTCCCTCACCTCCCAAGTTCCTGGATATTGGGAAGGCGCTAGGCCAGAAAGCTCTGAACCAGCAAATGTTTCAATTCTCTGATCAGCCCACAGCCAGGCCAAGTGTCTCTCTGGAATCTTCTTGATCTAGTACTTCCCGTAGTCTCAGAGGTTAGTGCTCCTGGTGGGGCCTCATTCCTCATCAGTGCTGGTTGGGGTTGTGAGCTGGTGCCAGGCTGGGTCTGGCTTCTGCACCCTCCCTAGTTCAAGTGGAGCTGGCTGAAGGAGGAGGGTCATGGGCTGGTCCTCTTTGTATCAGGTTCCTAAGCAACCCACAGGACAGCTTTGGATGAGGGAGTCTTTTTTGGCAGAAGAAAGCAATAAAGGACAGGGGAGTGGGGCGTCTTGCAGAGACTGGAAACCCCTGGTCCCTAAAACTGCAGTGCCTAGGACAGGTATGGCTTTCCTTAGAGAACCAGAGATCCCCCCGCACTCCCTTCCTGAGAACTCTCTTCATTTCTGGGGAACTCACAATCATGTCCTAAGTCCCATGATCCCCATTCCCAGGACATTAGCCAGCCAGAGCTGCCCCTAGTGCCACCCCAATTCCTGAGCAAGACCCCCTTCCCCACTTCCAGCTGGTCAGGAGGCCATGGCAGACAGCAGAGCACAAAGAAGGAGGCATTAGTGAGACACAGGCAGCAGCTGCGGGGGAGGAGAGGCGGGCGCCCGCAGTCACCTCGGCTGTGCTGCCTGTTGACCATCCCGCCCAGGGTCCACCGGCGATCCAGGCGCCGCAGATGGGCCTTGCGTCTCTTGGACACTGGTGTGAGAGATGGTGATGGAGTGCACAGTCGACACGAACCGGTGGAGAAAATGGAGATGAGGATGAGATGGGATGGGGGAGGGGAGAAGGAAGGGGTTAAAGGGAGGGAGGGGGATGCGTCCACACTGTCGGGTCCAATGGGCAGCACACCCCGGCTGAATGAGCACATCTGATAGGTGACATCTTTGGCACGCAGGGAAAAATTCAACCAAAACCAAATTCTTCAGCTTATGCCCTTAAATCTAGGAGGACACTAAAGAATTCAGGGTCCCATGTTAGGGATGGAAAGGACCTTTCACACCAGCCCCGTGTGAGGCAGCAGTCCCTCAGTTGCAGTCTTCCCCAGGGATGGATGGATCATTGCTCCCCTGGACCCTGGTCAGTGCCCGGAAAATGAGTCCTCCACTTGCTCACCATGTGTGACTGTGAACTGGGCACCATGGGCTGGGCAGCATGTGGGGAAGAAAGAGTGTGACCCCAGAGGCTGAGCCTCCCTTGTAGGCTCAGAGCTCTTCTCACTCTGGGTGGGCTTACATCTTTGCCTTCTCATTTGTTCCCACTGGAGTCTGTTGGAGGTGATGCTCTGCCTGTGTCTCTGCACCCCCAGGGCCTAGCACAGTGTCTGGCACTGACCCAGGAAAGGTTCACTGTATGAAATGCACATGACAGTGCCAGAGGCCCGCTCTGCTCCTTCATATCATCCGTCTGGGTCTCGTGATGATGAAGACACGGCCTGCCCTGCTTCTCATTTCTTAAGACCACGTTGCCAGGGCTGGTGATGTGGCTCAAGTGGTAGAGTGCCTGCCTAGCAAGCACGAGGTCCTGAGTTCAAACTCCAGTAATATGAAAAAAAAAAAAAAAGCCACTTTGCCTGGACTGCGCTCTCTGGGCAGATCCTGCACTAGTCCAGTGGCCGAGCTCCAAGCCTCCATGCACCCTCTGCTCAGGCCTAGCTCCAGATGCCCTGACTTCCTCTAAGACTCCCAGGGGGAACGGGCATTGGACCAGGGCTCTAGGTTGCCAGCTGGCTTCACCTCCTGGCACCACAGAAGGAGGCTGCCAGGTTGCCCTGGTCCAGGGAAGAGAGGCTGGCTGGTGGTTCGAATGAAAGTAAAACTGTCCACACATACTTGGGCTAAACCCCAGCAAGGTCTTCTGGGGGAATCTGCTCTCCCTGGGAGGAGAGTGGCCTGTGTGATCTGCCTCTTACAAGCAGAGGCCTAGGCTCTAACTCAGACCCACTACTGGCAACTGTGTCACCCTGTGGTGCCTGCCATCCCTATGACTGTTTCCTCATCTGTCATAGGGTGATATTTCCTGCCCTGACAGAGGCCAAAATAAACTCAAGGGACATTAATCAGATCCTGTGCAAGGAATCCAGGGTGGGGTGGGGTGGGGCTGGATGGGGACAGACGGGCTTGAGCCTGGTGCCTGGACCAGGGGCCAAGTTCATGGTAACTGACTTATTCCCTATGTGCCATTTATGAAGATCATCTCACCTGAGCCTCACAAGAGCCCTAAGTGGTTGGCACTAACCCTATCATACAGGTGGGGAAGCAGAGGCCCAGAGCGCTGGAGAACGATCCAAGTCACACACTTACACGTGACTGCAGGTGCACATAGTGGACATAGCACAGTGGCCAGGGCCTTGGGTCTGGGGTACCAAGCCCTGAACCCTTCTGTGGATCTGGGTAGGAGATGCCTAAGATGTGAAGGCAGAACTTACAACTGTCCACATGTGGCCAGAGGCACCGGCACATAGGTCCTAATAGAAGCACTCAGGAGGGGCACCCTGGGTGTGACTGTACACTCACACTATGAATGCAGAACTTGCCTTGGCTGCTGTCAATTCTTATTCCATCAAGGTCAAAGTCCTTCACAATCTGCTACCACTTGTTCCACGTAAAGTATCAATGTTCTGTTCTAACCAAACTGCCATTGTGCCCCAGGCCTTCTGGGCCCTTTCCTGCTCTTCTGCCTACTCAGTGTCTGAGGCCTCTACCCTTACCCAACACCTCTGCTCTGCCGTTCTAAGTCTAGCCTTTTCTACCATACACTCTCCTCCAGTGGAGACCACAGCAGCCTTCTCTGCAGATGCTTCATGGAAAGGCCTACTGGGGCCTAAACCTGATAAGGACAAGCATAGAACTAAACATTTTGAAGCTTCTGTCCCTGCAGCTGAAAACAGCTGCAGTATGGGGACAGTAACAGTCTCCTCCCAGGATGATGACAGGGCATCTAAAGCCTTGGCCTAGCACCAGGGCCTTTGTGGGCTGCCCTAATTGAGAGGCCCTGGCATGTATCACAGAATGGGGCACTGGGTAGGAGATAAGGCCTGGGGGCTGCAGGTAAATTGGCCCGGACCCAGCTCAGGAGTGGGAGTTCTCCGCTGCTGCAGAGATGCAATGGAACTAAAGGGGAGAGAGTCCAGAGCAGCCCAGCCTGAATGTTTCAGGCCTTCCCAGAGTGGTCTAAGCCCTGGAGACCAGTCACAGGTAGGTGAGCATTCCAGAGGCTGACATCTGATTATGGGCTGAAATGAAGCATTAACACAGGAAGAAGGATGTGGCCCCAAGTGCCAGCTGAGTAACCGACATTTAGGGGAAGGATGAATAAGGGGCTGGCACTTGGCAAGCTGCTCATTTTGGCCTGGGCAACAAGGAGGTGGGGATGGGAGGAGTAAGCCTAGGGGTGGCCTAGTTAGCAAGCCTACACCCTTGGCTCTCCGACTTGTCCATCTGGATCATCCTGCCAACTGACCGTTAGGGAAGAATTCTGTTACCAGGCCATGGAAGGTTTGGAAGGCATTAGGAACAGAAGCTGGGAACTGAGCTGGGGACAGGGGGCTCAGCACTGTCAGACTTACTGGGTTGATGCTGACCTAGGGAGCAGAGGCCAGCTCCTGGAAATGCAAGGAGAAATTCCCAGAAGAATCTCCTGGAGCCAGAGCTTACTGGAGAGGTTGACTGTGCAGGGACCTGAGTCCCACTCAGTCTGTGAGATGCTGGGAGGTGGTCAGAGACCTGCCTGAGTCAGGCTGACAGCACCCACTGCAGAGGCTTCTGGGCAGGACACCACACAGTCCCTTGGATCATACTTGCTGCAGGAAGTCAGAGTGGGGGAGCAACAGGAGGTCTCTGTGGGGTCCTTGAGAGGAGCCCAGAGCTTCTAGGGAGAAGTCGTTTTTTGGGGGGGTTCTACCCTAAGACTGTTTTCTCCAGCATTGCCAAAATTTGAGGTCCACAACCCTAGGGAACTTCCCATGGGGGCCTGGGGTAGGAGGTGAGCTTCTGAGTTAGTCCCAATGAGATGGGATCCCAACGGAAGGGACTTGGGTATGGTCCAACTCACTTTAGGGATTCAGATTGAGAAGATTAGGAGAAGTGCTTCCAGGAGGGGTTGATCCCAGAGGCAGCTGGCCCCACGGTCCAACGTCACTACCCTCTCCCTGAGAACCTGCAGGTTCTTACCTTCCCCAGTCTTGGAAGTGTTGATGTCCGAGTCGTCCCGTGTGCCATTCTGGGCTTCTAGGTAGGTGGCAGGAACCCAGCCCTGCTCTTCAGAGGTGCTCACAAACCACCAACCTGCAGCGGGAACAAGAGAACAGGCTGGTGAGAGCCTGACAGATGGTGGAGGTGGGATGGGCCAGGACGAGGATGGAAGGAGTGGCTAGTGGGCAAGGCATACAGCCAGACAGCCTGGGCACCCAGCAAATGCCTGGCCGATAGCCAGCCCCAGGAGCCTGTGTCTCAGCTAAGGCAAAAAAGACCAACACACTCCTACACAATTGATGAAGAAATTAAAAAGCAAAATGGAAATCATGGTATGCCCTATGTGTGGAATAAACCTTGCAAGAAAGGCCAAGCAAACTGTCTGTCCCTGCACAAGCCATTTCTCTCCAGCCACCAGGCCCACTAATGCTGCTGGAGTGGGGTATCAGCCTTTCTCTGAGGGACAGGAATGCCTCCAGAGACACTAATGGTCAGCTGGTTCCTTTTCTCCAGCACGGGTCAGCAGTGTTTTCACTTCTGCTGCTCACAGCTGCCCTTGAAGCGTGTTGACATTGCAATCCCAGTAAGTGGGCACTGCATCTTCGAGTGATCCCTGACAATCACGGCCACATGATAAAGGCTCATTCATGTTGGTTGTTCATTCATGTTATTTGCTTACATGTCTGGTCATTCAGAAAACCATTACTGGGCAAAGTTCGTGAGCACATAGGTCTAGGGTGCTCACGCACCGTCTTCAGTCTCTTTCTGAAAGGTTGCCTTCCCAGGACTCTGTGCTCTTCCCATCCCTCCCTGCTTGTCCAGCTCTCTTTTGTCCCCCATATAATGTGGCACTGGATCTTCTTTCTGTTCAAGGCAGAGCTCTTCATGTCCTGTCAGGAGGCTCCAGGGCTTCTCCCTGGGCAGCAGGCTACTCGGGGGCCTTTTCAGGAACTGACATAGATGCTTTGATGACCTAAACCCTGAGTCCTCCCTAAAGCAGGAGTTACAAGGGCACGTGCAGAGAGGGCCTGAGAGCTAAGTCCATATAGCAGCAGCAAAGTCACCAGATGGAGAATGAGCCACTCCTGACTGACACCTTCAGAGCTCTGGTCTGGTGTGTAAGGCTAGACTATCCCTCCAGACTCCCTCACTTCTATAAGTCAAGGAACTTCCGATATGGTGTATGACCCGGAGCCAGGTTTCAATCACATGAATAGATGTCCTCCCTAATCACCCCTAACCATCACAAGCATCACCATTAAAGGTCCCCACAAGAGCCACACGTCTGGAGAATAAAAGACAACTGAGCAGCTGCTTCTGCAGACCTCAGCAGGTAGGGACCAAGTTTTCCACGCCACTCTGGGGAAGGGGTCACTCCCCCAAATCCTGCTCACCAGGAGAACCCCTAAGACCCTCAAAGAACAGTTGCCACAGGTCTCAACTTGGGTTCACTTTTAGAAAGCTCTTGAAAGCTGAGGCTCACACATGACTTCCCAGATCCAAGTTCCAATACCAAGAGCACAAAAATGGCTCCCACAACTCATCCAGATCCTTCCCACACTGACCTCCAAAGACCTGCCCACCTAAGCCAAGCCAAGGTCCAGCAGGCTGCAGAAGTGTCCAGAGGGTCTGGTCTCAGATGGGAGCCCTTCTTCCTGGGAGTGGTTTCCTCAGAAGGGTCCAGAGCTGGAGCCAGGGATATTGTCATTGAACAAAATGAGATGTGCCTGAGGAACTGCATGGCTTAGAAGCCTGCATCTTGTTGAGGATCTGCCAAGGTCCCTTCATGACCAGCTCTTTTTCTACACCAAGGCATGCTCACTGCAAATGCCACTTCCCAAAACAACCTTGTGCCAGCCCAGGGCCCCAGGAAAACAAGTGATTTGCTACTCTTGTGGAGGCTAGGGTGGGCTCCATCAGTCCCATCCATGCTGGTCTACGTCTAAACTGCTGTGAGGCATGCCCCTGAGCCTGCCGCCCTCTTGCCCTCTTGCTCTCACCCTCTTCCTCCTGCATAGGCTTTTCTCCTAGTCTCCAAAGCCTTAAGACACCAGGATCTGGGGTCCTCTCTCCCGCTTACTTCACTCATGGGAACCCTTCCCTGTATGTGGTGGTACTTCTCTTTCCTAGGAGTAAGGTAAGGTATGCAAGTGGAGGACGGACCTGCCTTTGGTGGCAGCAGGGGCACCCCTGGGGCAAGGCAGGTCTGCTCCCTCCTCCCACCTCTGCTGCACAGGCCTTGACACAGAGTAGGAGCCAGTGGGCATAGCAGAACCACACTTCTCTGCACCTCACTCTCAGGTGTCCTATAATACGCTCAGGGCTGTTTCCTCCTTCCCTCTTCAAAATCTCTGCCATGCTAGAAGCTTCTGAGGTATTTGGCCACACCTGAGCACCTCCTATCCCCACCTCAGCATCTTAGGATCCTATTCTCCTTCTGTGGCCTTAAGGCCTGGGGCTGAGAGTCATCATCCTCATGGCCTGGCAGGCCGTTAACCTTGCCTGAGAACACTAGTCTGTGTGTAAGCTCTTTCAGAGCTGGGCTGTGTGGCTTCCAGCTCAAGTTTTTTCTGTACCATGCCATTGGTGCCAGAGATGATGATGGCTGTAAAGAGCCTGACACCACCACTGAGCTTAGATGGACAGACTGAAACACTATGTAGGTGGGCACTAGTGAATGCAGGCAGAGGTGCCCACCTGGGTCCATGCAGACCTCCTGGGATTCCTGGCACAAGGCACACAGTTGGGGCTCTTGAAAACACTCCCTGGACCTGCTCCCACTCATGGCTGCTGATGGGCCTCTCCCAGATGCCTATGGCTCAGATGTCAATTGTTGCATTAGGGGCTCCTGACTAGTCACTGGTGCTCCACAGAGAAGCAAACAGAATCTGAACCTCTGGGTGTGGCTTAGCTGGCCAAGAGGGTGCCAACATCAGCCAGTGAGCCCTGTGGGGTTCCCCGGCTCACTTCCAATGCATGCAGGGGCCTCATCGCTTTTCCTGCAGTCTGAGTGTGTGTGTGTGTGTGTGTGTGTGTGTGTGTGTGTGTATGAAAGAAGTTGCTGGGGTGGGTGTGGACACAAGTATATGGGAGGTGACTTATGTACATGTACCTGTGTACAAAAGCTAGGGCTGTGGACATGTGCGTTACACACAGTACAACCAAACACAAAGAAAAGTGCTCTGGCAGGCACTCACTGTTTACTCTTCAAGGACCTGGAGAAATGTTACTGGCATCAGGCTTACACGAGAAAGCTAGGCATAAAACCTGGTGAGGTCACCCAGAGATCCCAGAGTCTCAGCCATTACAGAAGTGTGTGTGGCATATGCTTGCTGTATACACAGGTACAGATGATTCCTTGAGCATGTGTGTCCCTGAATACTAGCACTTGGTACATGCACCTCTCTGCGAGTACAGGCCCATGTCTCTGAGCATGTCCTTGGTGTGTGCACCATGGTCTATGTGCATCTGAGTGCTGATGTGCACAGGTGAGGGTCCTCTGGGGGTAGAGGGGAATAACTAGGTGGTCTTCTGTGTTAACTTGCTCAAGGTAACACAAGTTACTAAGCCTTTCTGAGCCTCAGTCTCCCCTCTGATATGAGAGAGGTGAATGAAGCCCATTTTCCAAGGTTGCTGAAGAGAATGGGATAATACCTGCAAGTGGTTAAGAGTGACAGGCTGGCAGAGTGGCTCAAGTGGTAGAGCACCTGGCTAGCAAGCATAAGGCCCTGAGTTCAAACCCCAGTGCCACCAAAAAAAAAAGAACGTTAAGAGTGACAGCTGTGAGTCACATGGCTGGGGGAATCTTCAACCCATACAGCAGCACAGCCTGGTTAGTGTGTCAAGAGTCATCAATACACCTAGTGAGTTGACTTGGATGTATGTGCACTCTCCCTGCTCTGTGGCATTTCAGACTGTATTCAGAAGTTTCAGAAGAATGGAAGGTCTAGCCTGCAGGATGGCTTGTTCTTTCCTCAGTGGATGCATTTCGTGGCAGCAAAGCATTGTGGGAAATGGGGCCAAAGGGGAGATATCCCTGGGGGTTTCCTCTTTGCCCAAAATGTCTCAGGGCCACTCTGAGCCTGGTTTCCATCATTTGATTCACACAGCTCTCCAGGACAAAGATCCTGCAGCCTCTGTGCTCCTTGCCACATTTAACTTGTTCTCTGAAGTCCATCAGGCAGCCTACCTCCTCCAGAAGCTGTCTTTGGCTGATGTCCAAATTCCCCCAGCTTCCACAACAGTAACTCCAGAGTTCACAGCTGATTTGATCTCTGAGAATTAGCCTAAGTACCAGATCTACTTTATCTCTAGGTTAGAACTGAATGTTTGGCAAAGTCTGCCAAGATGAGGAAACTGAGGCACAGAGTCAAAGATCTGAGTCTAAATCCCATCACTGCCACCTCTCTGCTCTGTAGCCTCAGCAAAGTGCCTTAACCTTTCTGAGCCTTGGTTTCCTCATCTGTGAAATGGTAAGAATACCTACCCTGCAGGCTGGTACGGAGATTGGATGAGGTGATAGCACACAGATCTGGCACACAAGTACCCACTAAATGGCAGCTAGATACTTTAATGAATGAACTCTCCTCGCCCAGGGCCACACCAGCCACCTCACACATTTTCCATGTCCCCAGAAAGACGGGTCCAAACTGCAAGCTGGCCTAACAGCCTTCCTCTCCCATCTCCATGGCTTCCTTTCTTGGAAGGCCAGATCCAGTGAGGTTTCTCTCCAGGACTTGGCCTTGGACTGAGAAGTGGGTACACATGTGCCGAGGTGAGGGCGGGCTGTTCTCTGATTGGCAGCCACACCTGGCCTCTTTCCTGAGATGTCAGCTGTTTCCAGGTAGAAGGGGAGAAAGCAGCAAGCTTGAAGGGTACTTTGGGTGGTGAGGCAGCAGGTGGGAGGGACCTAAGGGGCTGGGCTCTCTGGGAGACACTGTAGCACATCCTTCCCGCCCAGCTGGCAGCTGCCCTGTGGCGCCTACCAGGCCCTTGCTTTGGTAGGTCTTCCCACCTCGAGTGCCCAGGTGGGGCAGGCGTGGGACTCCTAGTCCATGAATGAGAGCCTACAGAAGAGTCCCATGTACCCTAAC